GTAAGATCTTAAGTAAGATCCGGCCTATAAATCTTATCAGTGATATTGTAAGATAATTCATGTAAGATCTTAAGTAAGATCCGGCCTATAAATCTTATCAGTGATATTGTAAGATAATTCATGTAAGATCTTAAGTAAGATCCGGCCTATAAATCTTATCAGTGATATTATAAGATAATTCATGTAAGATCTTAAGTAAGATCCAGCCTGTAAATCTTATCAGTGATATTATAAGATAATTCTTGTAAGATCTTAAGTAAGATCTGACCTGTAAATTTTATCAGTGATATTGTAAGATAATTCTTGTAAGATCTTAAGTAAGATCCGACCTATAAATCTTATCAGTGATATTGTAAGATAATTCTTGTAAGATCTTAAGTAAGATCCGGCCTGCAAAGATAAATCTTGTAAGATCTTAAGTAAGATCCAGCCTTTAAATCTGATCAGTGATATTATAAGATAATTCTTGTAAGATCTTAAGTAAGACTATGCCTGTATATGATAGCTAAGATCGATCAGACTAAATCCAAATAAGATCTTATAAGGTTGTTCTTAACTCTTATCTCACCTTATCTCACCTTATCTCATCTGATCAGATTATTCAAGATCTTAGTAAGATTTTTTTCCTGGGTAAGTAGAGACGAACCCAAGCTAAAGGAAGAAGCATCAAGCAATGACAGGTATAGGAAAGGTACAATATTACTGTGTAGTAGCTAATGTAAAGCGTCACCACTCATCTGTATAAGACAATGTATAAGGGTGCACTCTCAAACTCTCAAAGTTTATTTGAAAGAACGGGGCTACGTGTACACATGCAAAGGGATGTATGATGTATAGTACAACTATTCAGGAGCCCATGAAAAAGGTTGGGCTCCTGATTTATTACTTAGCTGGTATCCATAATGATAGGACAATCCAATTGGTTTTCTTGGACGTTTACTGGGATCAACTGACACAAATTGCACATGGGAGGATGCCACATGGATAAGGGAGCTGTCTGCTGGTTTCTCTGATGAATTTGATGCCGTCCTCAGCTCTCAAATTGCTTCGCAGTCTGGCCCCTGTACAGTACCTTTAAATCATTGCAAGTGATCATGACTGGCCATCCCAGTTAGCAGGGCAGATTATATTAGTCTCTCCTAATCAAAAGAAAAGGAATACAAGTTAACATGACCTTACGATAACATTAGGACAAACAACTTGTAAATTTAAAATTGAATTTTATTTTAAAATTGAATATTTAAAAGTAAATTTGAATCTTAAAATTCACAAGACACACAAAGAGTAAGTTCTAAACCAATCTTAATTAGGGAACAAGTGTGTATACAGATAGTCAAAAGCAAAAGTAAATGCATTATTACGTGAAGTGACATATGCACAGACATAACACAATATTAATCATGCAAGGGGAGGCATAGGGTGGGATATTATAGTCTTGTTGTTTGTTGTCATGACATAACAAGATTATAGTACATGTAATGAACCTACCATTTCCAAAATAAGACTCCAACCAGAGGACACAGAATCAGTTCAGGAGCCAAATGAAGTTAGTAGAGCACATCATGTTCCAGACAGCATGTCTCACCTAATGAAAACAAAGGAACATGAAATATTAACAAGTAGGAGAAAGAGAGAAACTGACTTCTTTGTAGTATTGTATGGACTGGAGATTGACATGGAGTTGAGCCATGTGATTTCCGTATTTTGTTAGAATCCTCACTCTCAGCACCTCTGGCTAGCTTTTTTTGTTGCTCCCCATCCTCTGAATGGACAGTCACGAATAAAGTGTGTTGTGTACTGCCACATCGATGGCACTTGTAGCCCCCTTTATTTCTCTTCAGAGTCATCACTAGGCTTCCTTGGAGGCTTCTTTTCCCCTTGGTTTCTCTTCTGTCCCAAGGTTTGTCTCCTTCCACTTTGCCTCTTCGAGCGAGCCTTACACACCAAGTCCTCGAAATTTCCTTCTACAACAGATTGATTAGAGAGAATGCTCCTCTTGCCTAATAATTCTGCTTCTGGAGTCACACGATAGGTTGGGGGATATGCTTTATATAATAACTTCCTCAACTCCTAAGCATATATACTCATCAGCTGACTCATTCGAACTTTAATTGTCTCCCCTGCTGGTCTGTACTGCTGTCAGTCGAACAGGGATAAATCTTTTAACAAGAGCTGGTTTCAGAGCATCATAGCTCCTCTTCTCAGACTCACTGTAAGACTTGTACTTGTAGAAGGATCTAGCGGGACCCTCCAGCCTCAATCGAAGCTGTGTTAACTTTTTATGGTCGTCACATCTACACCATACTCCCATTTCCTCGAGGCGGTCAACCCATTCCTCAAAAGAGTCTTCTTCAGCATCCTCCTTTGCTCCTTTAAAGGGTGGCAGCACTGGTAACTGTTGAGCATCATGAATGGGGGAGACAGATCCTTCTACCGCTCCCTCAGTCCCTGTCTCGGCCAAGGAGCCAGAGATCGTCTCCAGTGTGTCCGTTCATACCGTTCATTGGTACCTCCAGTGTTGTATCTATGGTCCATCCAAGGTTAATTGTCTCCTTCCACTTCGCCTCTTCAAAGCGAGCCTTACACACCAACTCCTCGAAGTTCTGTTCTATCCCAGTCAGCTTCTTATGCAATCCAGACTCAAAATCTTTATATATAGAATAACTTCCTCAACTCCTATAAGCATACTCATCAACTGACTCGTTCGAACCTTGTCTCCTCTAATGAAACATACTGGTCTGTACTGCTGTTAGTCGAACGGGAGTAAATCTTTTAGCAAGAGCTGCTTTCAGAGCATCACAGCTCCTCTTCTCAGACTCAATCACTGCAAGGCTTGTAGAAGGATCTAGCGCCAGGGCCCTCCAGCCTCAATGGAAACTGTGTTAGACATCTAGCTTTTTATGGTCGTCCCATCTACATTAGACTGCCATTTCCTCGAAGCGGTCAACCCATTCCTCAAAAAAGTCTTCTTCAGCATACTCCTTCGCTCCTTTAAAGGGCGGCAGCACTGGTAACTGTTGAGCATCATGAATGGGAAGACATCCTTCTACCGTTCACTTGGTCCCTGTCTCGTCCAAGGAGCCTGAGATCGACGTCTCCACTGTGTATTCCAGTTGCTCAGGTTTTCGCCTCCAGCTCGCTCTTCTCTTAACCATTGAGCTCCTCTCCTCTGGCCTCCCACTTCTGTTTCTCTAGTTCAGCCGCGGTCTGCAGCCGTGGACGTGGCCATGACTGGCCATCACAGTTAGCAGGGCAGATTATATCAGTCTCTCCTAATCAAAAGAAAAGGAATACAAGTTAACATGATCTTACGATAACATTAGGACAAACAACTTGTAAATTTAAAATTGAATTTTATTTTAAAATTGAATATTTAAAATTTAAATTTGAATCTTAAAATTCACAAGACACACAAAGATCAAGTTCTAAACCAA